ATCTATTAAAATAAAATTGAGGAAGTAGGCATAGTGAGAGAAATAAGAACAAGTGATAGAATTAGTTTGGATTACTTCTTGTCTAGTTTATGTTCTTTGCTGCACTCTCCCATATTTGCTGAAAGAAGCTAGAGCTGATGGTATTAAAGTAGTACATTCCAATACTATGTACTTCCAATGAGACTAATATAGAAGAAGTAACATGGGAATCAGCCAGAATGAATGAAAAATGCTTCCAAGAGTTCAACAAAGAGGCCGTTTCAACTCTCTTGGGTCATATTCTTTTTTCTGTCCTGTTTGAGATGGTCAGTGATCATGTGCAGTATAAATATGAGCTGTTTTTCTTGGCTAGATATGAAAGTAAAAAGACTTGAAATATTTTTCTATGGTATGGCTTATTTGAGAAGTTAAATAATTTTAGATGTAGTAGAGCGCACATCTACAATCCCAGCCATCCAGGAAGTAGAAGCAGGCTAGCATTAGTACCATAGGAAGAACGCTGCTTTACAAACAAGCAAATGACCCTCCCCCCAACAAACAAACAAGCAAACATAAAATCTACAAAGAGCGAAACAAACTAATTCAGAAAAGAAGCCAAGAAGAAAAAAAATCTGGACGCTAGAAAATATAAAGCATCATTAATTGATCATAGAGGAAAGAGAATAAATATGCAAAAGATTGAATCTAGTTAAGTGCCCAATTAACAGTTATGGTGCACCAAAGAAGAATGGTGAATCTGGTCTTTTGGAAAGAATCATAAAAACATTTCATGCTTTATGCAACAATAAGGAAAATTCAGAAAAGCTAGGCCATTCCCTGGCTTGCAAGCAACTGAACCTGAGTTAATATAGCTTACTAGGGGCCTCACGTTTGTGTCAGGATGTAAAGGGGAATCAAGGAAGATTTACAAAACTAAGTGCAGACACATGTATGAACAAATGATAGCACTCGAAGAAATGGGATCTCTAGTATGAATGAAGTTCTGAATAGGAACTGAATAGAAAGACATAAGAGCACAGGTGTTGTTTTCATTTCTTCCCATAGACTTTTAGAAGGGAAAAAAATAAAGGAAAAAAAGCCAATAACCCTTGGTTATTAATAATAGAGTTGAAAATGAGTTTCCCTTCTGGAATATAGCTTCAAATAATGGATAAAAATGGAGCACATGGGTTTTTATGTGCATTTTATGAAGGTGAGTCTGATAGAAAGTTGAGGTACAGCTGGGAAGGTGGCTCAGTGGTAGAACGCTTGCCTTGCATGCATGAGGCCCTGAGTTCGATTCCTCACCACCACATAAGCAGAAAGTTGAGGTGCATTAGTTAAAAATTCAGTTAGGAAAGTCGGTTACAATAGTTTATGTCTCCATCTGTTATATTGGAGGAATGACTCCTGCTCCACAGAAGCACTGGGAGGTTGGGGGAGGGGGGTGTCCTTGGCCCATTCAGTTCACATTTCCACTTCACTTTGTTTCCAGAATCCAAAATAGAATTCAAGTTCCAAAAGAAAGATAAAATAAAGAAATGAATACAAAAATATATTGAGCTCCTGCTCAATATTTTTCATGGAATATTTCTGGAATTTGCCATAGGACACTTTACTTACATCCTCTAGAATTTGGTCACATGGATATACTGAGCTGTGAGAGGTATTGAGAAGTGCACATTTTTTTTATTTATTTGTTTTTTGCTGGTCCTGGGGCTTGAACTCAGGGCCTCTCTGTGCTCAAGGCTTGCTCTCTACCACTTGAGCTACAGAGCCACTTTCAACCTTTTCTGAGTAGTTTATTGGAGATAAGGGTCTCATGGGCTTTCCTGCTTGGGCTGGCTTTGAACCTCGATTCTCAGATCTCAGCTTCCTGAGTAGCTGGTGGCATGAGCCACCAGCGCCTGGCTAAAAAATTTTATTACTGTGGAAGAAAAGCAGAATGGGAACTGAACAACAATTAATAGCCTTTGCCTGTATATTATTAAATGCTTGGATGATACAAGGAATGACATGGTATTATCATAAGCGTGAAGACTTGAAAACTACAGATTAATGGTAACAACAGAAAGCTCAGTTTGCAGCTTAAGAAAAAGGACAGGTTCAAAATGCATAGGTTCCAATGGCCATTTAAAAATATTGGTAACATAAGTAGAAAGTATCCAAATGATATTACAGATGAAAACTTCTCAAATTTGCCTAGGACAAACACAGGAAAAGAGTAGCTAATTTGTTGGGTGCCATAAATATTAGTACGTTCATGTAGCATTTATATATGCTAATTTACAATAGAGATTAAGGAGGCTAAGCTAAGTTAAATAATTGGGGCAAGCAAGACGAATGAGGATTATACATAAAGCGATACCTTAAGCAAAAACAATTGGATAATGACAAGCTGACTGTGATGTAATTTTCACATTTTGCAAACTCAGTGTAAGATATTCATATGTCACTATTCTAAAAATGGCTAATGTAGTTTGAATTAAGAAATGCAATTCTCCGTTTCTTAAGCAACTGTATATTAGCTCTCTGGAGGTTTTCCAAGGTATGTAGGTGATTAAACTGAGGAATGTCAAATACAATCTTTTTAAAAACTAATTTTACTGTTTCTTAATCTAGAAAAACATGGCTACAGTGTATCCACAAACAAACCAAATCTGGATGCCTGGCAGTCAAAGAGATGAGATAAATCCGTCCATGACTTACTCAGCCTTTCATCATTTATTCAAGTCATGATGACTGTCGCTATGTACATAAATAGGCTCCTGCACTGCCATATCCCGCTAAATTTACAACGTTAGTAGGCACTAGTAATGACAGAAAGTATGATAAAGGATGCTGAGTTAAATATCAGCTAATATAAGAAGCACAAAATAAAAATTTAACTTTATTTTTATTGAGGTACATTTGAAATTCACAGTTGATTTTTAGATCAATAAGATCTCTGCCTAGAATCGAGCTTGGCAATAAATACTTAAAGATATTTGTTAAAAGCTGGGTGCAGATGATTCATGCCTGTAATACTAGCTACTCAAGAGGTTGAGATCTAAGGGTTACCATTCAAAGCCAGCCTGGGCAGGAAAGCCCATGAGACTATTATCTACACCAATACCAGAAAAAAAGCCATAAGTGGAAGCTGTGGCTTTGATGGTAGAATGCTAGTCTTGAGCAAAAGAAGCCCAGAGACCCCAGGCCCAGAGTTCAAGCCCCAGGACTGGCAGTAAATAGATACAATAAAAATGTAACTGGTTAAGTCATAGCTATAAAAATGTTTGCTATTTCTATTCTACTATTCTGGAGTTAAGAAACCAGGGCTAACTTTCTTAATTAAAGAGGTAAATATTTTTCTCTATCATTTGAACTGAGCTCTTGGTCCGTTTTTCCTAATCTTTATCCTAAAGTCACATTTATACAGCTTAGGCACCTCTGTTTCTACATGAGCAGCCATGAAACTTGGTTAGATGAGCTCTGACTAGCCTGATGCATTAGGAAAAGGCTTCTGTTTGCATCATGTTTATGGAGCAGATCACAAATACTAGCTCAGTTAGTACGACAGGAATACCAATTTTGTTATCCAAACAAGAAAATTGAGGTAAAAAGAATAAATCAGATGAACAATGAGAAAACAGACTAAAAACGTTCTCCTAAAATTAAGTGAATATTTTGGAAAATAGCTTTTGCACATAATTTGCACTTTTTTTAAGGTTTTATTTTATTTTTTATTTTTTTTTAGTATTTTTTTATTGTAAAGATACTATACAGAGGGTTACAGTTACATGAGTGAGGTAATGAGTATACTTCCTCTTGAACATTGTCGTAATTTGCACTTTTGAGTTTTCTTTACATTTTGTTAGGAACAGATATGTATAGATGCATGTATGTATGTACATAGATATATATCTATATATCTATGTATAACTATACACAACATGAAATTATGCCTTTTGCAAAGGGATGTACATTTTCCCTCAGGTAGATCTTTGACACAAAATACAACCTCTCATATCAACATGCACAGAGACATGCTTGTATATATGAGTTACTTGACTAAAGTATGATATATACAGAAGTGAAACTTCATGGAGTAATAAGCCTTTTGAATAATTACCAAATGTCTTATAAAAAATGAGTATCAGGAAGTTGCAACAAGATTTTAAGGATGTAAGGTACTGTTAAAGGGGGGGGCTGTTGAATGAAAAATGGAACAGGGGACAAATATTGCAGGAATATTCAGTGTGTCTATGTGAAAAATGTGAAATGAGTCTGGAGGAAGGGGATAGGATGAGAAGAATGATGGAAGGGTAACTCTGGTCAAGAAGCACTGGACAGTAATTGGATGGATATGTTAAATTGTAACTCCCCTGTATAATCTTTTGAGGCTCAGAAAAAAAAATATGGTTGTAGAGAAATAACTAACTTCATTAGTTATCTATTTCTCCAAATTAAGTCTCCTCATTTTTTTTGTAACCAATTTCTTTTTTTTTCAATTGTGAAAATACTGTACAGACTGGTTACAATTACATGGGCAAGATAATGAGTACATTTCTTATCAATCATTGTAGCCTCCTTCTTTGTTTCCCCTTCCCATCCCATCCTCCCTGTGCCCTCCCACCCAACCACCTCCCCCTCCCACAAAAGTTGTAAAGTTCGTTTTCGACATAAGACTTGTACATCTCATTGTTGCAAAGGGGTCCACCTGTATCTCTATTTAAACGATTTGTTCCCCCCCCACACAAATTATACCAACATCAAATACAGTGAAAGCAGGGGTTATACCGTGGGGGAGGGACATACAAAGCAACAAAGAAATCATCTTATAAATAAATAAAAGCCTCATCATTTTTGCACTTGAATGACTTTTCTTGTTACTATGTATGTTAAGGGTGTGTGTGTGGGATTGCTTAAACACAAGAATAATTATAACAGCTCACAGATGAAACAAATAAAGACTTGGCCTTTCTTGGATAATCTACAAGGTTGAGTCAATAATCAGAATATCTTTCTGTGATTCCTTGCAGATATCATGGAAATCAGGACAGTGGCAGTTGGAATTGTGGCAATCAAAGGGGTGGAAAGCGAATACTATCTTGCAATGAACAAGGAAGGAAAACTCTATGCAAAGGTATTTATTTGTTGATGGCTTAGAGTTAATTTTTCAAACTTGTTTTTGTCAAAAACATTTTTGCCTTTTTAGAAAGCAAAACTGGAACCAATTTCTTTCCAGTGGTATAATTTAATGATTCCATTAAAATTTTATACCCAAGCATTAAGAAAAAAATGTTTTCTTTGTGCCTTTAGACAGATTGCTTAAGCTGTCTGGACTTTGGTTTCTTCATCTGTAAAATGAGCTGCAATAGCTGATTCTTCCAGCTCTAAAGTCCCATGTGCATTTTAGATACTTGAAATCTAAATTTCCATCTGTCAGTATTAAAGCTCTTTTTGTTAAAGCACACTGCTGACATGTAAATTCTTGGGAAAAAAAAATCCTGAAGTGTTCAATTCATTTATCACGTCCATCTCAGAATCACGATCTCTGAACTGGAAGCATTCACACTATTTTCTCTGTTTCAATGTGAAATATGTAAAAATTTAGCCCACCATAATAAAATGTGATTGACTTTCCTTTGTATTCCTAGAGCTCAGCATAATGTCTGACATAATACTACAGGTGTACTTGAATGATAGCATAGATGAACTTTTAATTTTATTATTCTTGAAGGCCATGTAGCAGTAAATGACCAGAGAGAAGCAAATGCTATCTTGACTACTCCAAATTTGCAGTGCTTAGCAATAGAAGAGTTACTAGGGGAAAATAAGTCCTAATATGACAGAACAGTAGAATCTGACTGCCCACGTAATATTTTTGTGGCCAGGTTGCATAAACTATGTATCATGTTGTCTTTTTTGTTTTAAATTTAAAAATAAAGGGCTGTATTTAATACACATTAAATGTATTAGGTCTGCTTAATCTGAGGTTTAAAACAAGTCATATATTGCTTAAGTTTTCTCCCAAATATTGCTTAATCTTAATTTAAAATTGAATCCTTCCAAAAGTCATTTGAATAATACGGCACGTTGTTTTAACAGAAAGACTGCAACGAAGATTGCAACTTCAAAGAATTAATCCTGGAAAACCATTACAACACATATGCATCTGCTAAATGGACACACAGTGGAGGAGAAATGTTCGTTGCCTTAAATCAAAAAGGGGTTCCTGTAAGGGGGAAAAAAACGAAGAAAGAACAAAAAACAGCCCACTTTCTTCCTATGGCGATAACCTAGTCAATGTATGGTATATAAGAAACCAGTTTCAGCAGGGAGATTTCTTTAAGTGGACTGTTTTCATTTCCTTTTTCTTCTTTCTTTTTTTTTTTTTTTAAGTAACCGAGAAAGGCTGGAAAACTACTGAAAAACTGATCAAGCTGGACTTGCGCATTTTTGTTTATTTTAAGAGACTGCATTAAAGAAAGATTTGAAAACTATACACAAAAATTAGATTTAGTAACTAAGAGTTGTAAAAAGTTGTAACTGGTTGTACAATCATGGTGTTAGTAATAGTAATGTTTTTTTCTTAAATTAATTTACCCTTCAGAGTATGTTAGATTTGATTATCTGATAATGATTATTTAAATATTCCTATCTGCTTATCAAATGGCTGCTATATATATATAATAAATAATAATAATAATAATAATAATGCAGATGATGTTATATAAGGTATGTCAGACCTAAAGGCTGCTGGAATGATCTGTCAGATAATCAAACCAACACTAACTAGGAGACGAGCAGCATTTGTGATGCTTTCCAGTGAAAAAAATCATAATCCAATCAGAAAATAAGGACTCTTCTAAAAAGGTCTATTATGGAATTGGATCAAATAAGTAGTTTCAGAAAGCATGCTTGTACCTATTAACAAGGAAAAAAATTTCCCAATGCTGCTCAGATTGAAAAGGTATTGCAAAAAGGTTTTAAAAAAATCTTGTATATAAAATAGCAATAATAATAATACTGTACTTCATCTCACGTGCCACAAAGTAACATTTTATAATCCCCCAAAGTAAAATTCAGAAGTCTTTTAAGTTTTTTTTCTAGTAACATAATCTGTCTTTTGTATAATTCATATTTGGGACTTGGGCTTTTTAACAATGTTCTTCCCACAAATAATCATGCTTTTCCCCCCTCCTGTGTTATAGCATTAAACTCTATTTTAAGTTGTATTTGAACTTTATTGTTTTGTTATTTAAGTTTATGTTATTTATAAAAAAACCTTCATAAGCTGTATCTGTTTCATATGCTTTTAATTTTAAAGGAATAACAAAACTGTTTGGCTGAGCTGCAAATTACCCCTCCCCCTTATGACTGACACCAAGTCTGGTACACAGTACTTGGGCCAGCAAATCCTGGAGGGCAGACAAAAATGACAGCCCGCAGCAATGCTTACAATAGATGCCTCACAGGGAACAATACAAATATGCAAAAAATGTTTTGCCACAATTCTCTTGCCAGTTAAATTGGATCACAGAAGTAAAATCATTCCAGAGGAAAAAAATCTTAAAGAATATATTTGAGCACATGAATAGAACGGTGTCATATTTAAACATTAAGGATAGTTAAAGGTAGTAATCCTGTAATCTAGAGCAATACCTTCCATCCAAAAGGTGGCAGTATTGAAAACTATTTTCCTTTTAAATGGCAAGAGAATAATGACTCAAGTAGAGGATATAGTTAGGGATATGAACCCCTGAATGCCATGAAGACCTAGGGCTATGGACTTATTAGAAAGACTGAATATCTACTTCACAATTCTTCCACTAGCAGATGTTGGTAATACTTTATATGTTCACCAAGGACAGCTCAAATTGTTGGTCTGTTAATTATTGTGATTTCAACTTCAAAATGTTTGTCATTAAGGTCTATTTACATTACAGAAACAACAGAACTATGTATTTTCTTGTTCACTTGTATGACCAAGCCAGGCCAGATACAGTTAGGGGGAAGTTTTTCCTGGCCTTACTCAAGTATATTCTAGAGCAGTGCCATGCATGGTATTCTGAACTATTGTCTGATTTGAGAATGTTGCTAGTCTAGCCAGATCAAGTGACTGGAGTCTTGTGAACATTTAAAGGTTAGAACAAGGCATTTTTCATATTTGATTCTTTAGTGCCTTTCAGAATTATCTATAACAAATTTTTATCTAAATCCCTTCAGTGTCTAAATAGCAAAAAAAGTTATAATAATGAAACTAATCTTAAGTTTTGAAAGTTGAGGTCATTCATGATTAGGCAAAAATACTGTATATACTTACAAGAGAAGTTACAAATGCCATCAAATTACTGTTAGATTGTTTTGAATTAGGCAAAAACCAGGATTTATTAGCAAAACCAATCCTGGAAGTAAAGGTTATCTACAAAATCTTTCTAAAAACATTTACTTTTAATTCTTGTTCTTATCCTAGGTTTATACATTTATCATGCAAATTTTAGAAATAAAAATATGCTTTAGTTATATACACTTTGAATTCTAGAACTTTAAAATTCTATGAGACCGTCATACCATGTACTCATTTATAGATCAGGAAATTAAGGTTTTTGTAATTCAAGATCATGTAGCTGGATACACAGAGAACTGTGACAGAGTCTTGGTTACTTAGCATGTGCTACTTACCCTGGGATTCTAATCATTATTAGCAAGCAAGCTTATGTTTTGGTTTGCTTCTATTGAGATATCTTTATATTTTCCACTGAATGTGATTTATTGGCAAGCCACTTTACACATAATAATTAATCTGTATCATAATCATGTAACCAAAAAGGAGAAAAGCAATAATATAGTTTCCAATCCTGATTTGTATTCAACTTTTACGGGTACTCCTTTACTTATAAAGCATTATGCATACTAATTTTATAGGTAGAATAACCCTTTCTAAAATGTTATTTTGAAAAGAATTACATAAATATGTTGGTCTCCAACAATTAGGAAAAAAATTTGAAAGAATGTAAAATATTAACAAAACAAGTAATAAAAATATGCTATCTCTTAGAATTTGCTCTGCTGGTTCTTTAGAGTGCCAAAGAAGATCAAGACTGACCATGGAACCTGCAATAGTAAAAGCAATTCTATAGCCACAACACCCTGAAGCTGTGCTCCTTATAATTTTTTGCTCTACACTAGTAGAGTTGTAGAATAAGATTGAGAGAAAAGTGTAAAAACCGCCACTAAAGACAGAAATCTTCTCTCTTATAACTCATGTGATTTTTATGTTTGCCTCCAGTATACATTTGTGTTCACTTTACTATGAAACTGACACTAGTTAACTCCCGAGAGTAACACTCATACCTCAGAAGGACATCCAAGGTTTAATCTGAGGAGTCATTGGTACTCCTTCTCCAATGTATCCACTTGAGCATGAACACAATACAAGAGAGCTTACAACTTCCCTTGTCTGACATTACACATAAGTAACACATGGCTAAAGAAAACTAAAACTCAGTCTAAGTTCCTGTATGTACCAGAGTGATACCGAAAAACATTTAACTGCCTGTTATGGGGTGGTTATCGACCGAATATAACACTGGTCCATCAGAATGAACACAGGCTATTATGACTAACTTGTGAATAACAGATGATTATCAGCTGTGACCCTAAGATTATCTTAAAAGTTTTTGAAAGTGTCTATTAATTGTTCTCTGTGGTTGAATTCTTAACATGTATTTTAATAGAAAATAGTTCATTAAAATTTGTTTTATAAATGCTTCAGAATCATTGTCAGGCTACTCTTTATTTGATTTTTTTTCCCTTGAACTCAGAAGCTGGACACTGTTCCTAAGCTTTTTTTATTCAAGGCTAATGTTCTACTTTGAGTCACAGCTTTTTTGTGGTTAACTGGAGATAAGAGTCCCTTGGACTTTCCTTCAAAGGCTGGCTTCAAACTGAGACCCTCAGATCTCAGTCTGAATAACTAGGATTACAGACATGAGCCACTGTCCTCAGCTTGTGTTTTTGCTCTAAATCAAAATGTACTAGCCTCAACTTTGAGTCTTAAATATGTGTGTTCACAAGCACACACACACACGTGTGCGCGCACACACACACACACACAAAACAGGTTCATCAAGTTGTTTAGAGAAATGTACATTATCAAAAACTGCAATTTCAAAATTGTTCTTGTTAAGTTTCTGGTTGAAGAACATTCTGTTTTTGCCAAGATTCGTGTGTTTGACAAGGCTCGGTATTGTCCAGAAAGTCCATTTTGCAAGATGGACTTGATTAGTAAGAACTTTTCCTAACATTTTGTTAAATTTATACATCCTACTCATTTTCTCTAATGAAAACTTGGCTGTCCTCTTAGAACTCTGCTTCCCCTGCAGTCCTCATACCTCATGTATCTTTTTTTTCCTCTCCCACATCACTGACACACAAACTGAAGATGTGTGAGAGGTATATGCATGCCCATCATACATTTATGTCTGTTGGTTTCTCTCTCATCGCTAGGCCACAAGCTCTAAAATAAAAACAGGATGACTTATTTTGTATGGAGACTTACATATCCACATTTATCACTATCTGTTACACTAAGTAAATATTCCCACCCAGAATGTGAATACTTATTTCCAAATGTATTTATTGAAGGAGTGCACAAACAAATTCCTATTTAGTGACAGAACAATGAACACACATTACTATAAAGCATCAGCCTATTCCTATCCAGTGTGGTTGTTTGCAACTAGCAGAATGTACTATTGTTTTGTGCCACCTGAAGAATAAATTACTCAGAAGCATCTAACTTTGTTCACTTTTGATCATAGCACGTTTACATTATTCAATACAGTATTCTATTTATACTCTGGTTGTCAAGGTGTGGACAGGGCTGAAGACACTGGTGCTCTCTGAATCTTCATTGTTTGTTCACGGTGAAGTCTATGGGGGTTTGGCTCCTGCCACACAGCAGGTGGGAAGCCAGCTTCCTTCCTTCAGTCCCCTACTGTTCCTCAGGGCATGAGCTCTTCCCCACTTGGGACCAGGAAAAGGTGTGGGGATGGAAGGCATGTTTCCGGATCCAACAGGAAGATTCAGTGCCTTTACTTTCAGTGCCTCCAGGGTTAGGGGCATCAGAGTTCTCAGAGCTGTCCCAGCAGAGTGGGAAGTATTGGTTACACGGAGTTATTGAGTACCTGGAATGTGGTTGTTCTAAATCAAGAAGGGCTGGGAGCTTAATGTACACAGTAACAAAAATATATAAATTTAATATTATATTGGCTGATTAAAATATTTTGGTTATACAGGGTTAAATCTTTTGTTTACAAATGAAAAAATAGTGTGTAAATAATGCATTTCATAATAGGATACCTAGTGGTGAAAAATGAAATTCAGAATTTCTTACAAGTACTGCCAGTATACAGACCATTGTATTGGGGTGGGAGGTTCAAGAGACACTTACAAGTAAACCTATTGCAGACCATCAAAAAAATTTTGGAACCCAAACTAGTAATTAAAATTTCCTGGAAAGCAGGGTACCCAAGAAAAGAGAATTAAATGATTTTAAAATAAATTTAAATTATGAAAACAATTCATAAAATCTAGATAGTTCTGTAAAAATGGTCAATTTCCAGTTTTTTATATATATATCTCTATTCTATTTCTAAAAAGTAATCTATTACACTTGGTATAGTATAAAATTCAACATAATACATCTTATTAAGTTGCTACTACATTAGGAGTT